GATCTGAGTTGGAACTAACTCAGTGGCACCTAACAACAGCAACAATTGTTTTTAGTTAAGACATAATATATCTTTTCCTAACTTTTAGAAAGTTTTCTAATTGTCTTTGCATGACACAAGTTTTTTTCCTCAAGTAGTTCTTCCATAAACACTGTCCCCTTTCATTACTGTATTTCCTTATTTGATTCATACCCAATACAATTTTCAATGATATCTTCTTGCCTACTTTCTGTATATATTATTTCATAGTCTGTTTTCACAGCTTCCAATTATTTATCAATTTAATTTTCTCCCACAGAAGTATAAACTCTCTGAGGGGAAAACTTCTGTCTGGCTTATTTATATCTGTATGTTCACCCCTTATACAATGACAGACTCCTTGTGCTAAGGAAGTAAGATTTCTTGCTAAGCCTCAGAAACCCTGTACAAGGTTACTAAGAGTCAGAATGGACTTGAGGGTACTTAACAACAACAAACTATGATATAAGTTATTACTGGATAAATACTCTACATCAAAACTGCCTACATATGTAACTGTCTTCTCATGATCCAACTTTGTTTTAAATTGTAGAGTGGCTAGATCAAATCAATAATAGAACTTAACTATGGTGGCACTGAATATATTAAATAATTATGACAACTTGGTAACTTCTGACTTTTGAACTAAAGTTTTTGACTTTTGAACTAAAGTTTCTCATGGCCATGTTTACTACTTTAAGTTAAATAAGCAACATGTATAGATTGCTGGTTGTTGTTGTTGTTAAGTGCCTTCAAGTCAATTCCGACTCATGTTGTTGTTTAAGTGCCACCGAGTCGGTTCTAACCCACAATGATCCTGTTGTATAGGGTTTCCAAGGAGCAGCTGGTGAGCTTAAATCACCAATCTTACAGTTCAAACGGCTTTGCAGTCTGGCACATTAACCCACAGAGCCACACTAGCAGATCCTATATAGGATTTCCTAAGAGCGACTGGTAAGCCTGAAACACTGACCTTGTGGTTCACACTGACTTTGTTGTCCAGTGCATTAACCTACAGCAGTGGTGGTATCAAATTTCATTATTATAGTCCAGGCCTACTTACTACCTCCAGTGGCTTCACTCAGCAGACAACACAGCAAACCAAACAAATTGTACACATGAATTGTGCTTTATTCTGGTATTTCATCAACTAACAAATATTTATTAAAATCTTACTTTGTTGAAAGAAACAACCTGGCGTAGAGAGGTATTATCCAAGGGGAGTTAAATAAAGACTTTGTACTTTAACTACTTATATTCTATATGACTATTCATGAGTCCTTGGATTGTGCAAATTAGGGTAAGTGCTCAACTATGAGTCCAAAAGTTGGTTGTTAGAACCCACTCAAAAGTGTCTCGACAGAAAGACTTGACAATCTGCTTCCAAAAGGTCACAACAGTCTTGAAAACCTATTGGAGCAGTTCTACTCTGCACACATGTCACAAAGAGTTAGAATTAATTCAATGACAATGAAAATAACAAAACTGTGGAACAAATCATACACTATAAAAGGGTAGCTTCAAATAGTTCATGGAAAAATAAAACTAAAAGATAATGGAATTTTTCCATCAGCTTTTTGACACACCTCTTGCATAGCAACAGACTCAATAATAAGTACAATGAAAGTTCACAAGAAGAGCCTAAGCCTAAAATTAGGGTAGGTTCCATCAGTAATCTAACCTAACTGGGCTATGGAGGACATATGGAATTCAGAAAGGAAGGAGGACAAGGACTCTAAATAATAAATATTCAATAAAACAAATGTGTTGTTCATATAGAGAAAACTAAGTAAAATATACCTGGTGTGGCACTGTGGGTTAATGTTCCAAACTGCAAAGTCGTTTGAACTGCAAGGTCAGCAGTTCAAGCTCACCAGCTGCTCCTCGGAAATCCTATACAGGGTCCCTATGGATCGGAGCCAACTCGACAGCACTTAACAACAATTAAAAGAGAATCTGTGATTTGTTGGCAAAATGGAAGTTAGTACTAGACTACATCAAACATCCTTACTTAAGTAAACTGGTTTGTGTCCAACTAGAAGAGTAGTTCTCGGGAGGACCTTATATACTAATAAGCCCATAAGAACAGCTAGCTCATACATTTACCAGCTTTGTGGCCTTGGGCAAGCAACAAATTCTCAGAATTCTATTTTCTTCTTCTATAAAATGCAGATAATATCTGATTTATAGAGCTGAATATGCTGTTGTTGTTAGTTGCTACTGAGTTGGTACCGACTCATAGAGACCCTATGCACAACAGAAGGAAACACTGACTGGTCCTGGGTAAATCTCACAATTGTTGTATAAGAAATAAGCTTAGCAAAGAGTATGACCCACAGTTAGATGGGACTTTACATGGCTACCATTATTAAACTGTATGTACTACGTAATACAGTTTACATTGCATTTCAATGTAGAGAAAACTAAAATGCTCACCACTAGACCAATAAACAACATTGTTATGGACTGCCAAAAGAACCAACAGATCTGTGTTGGAAAAAGTATTGCCAGAGTGCTCCATGGAGGCCAGGATGGCCAAACTTTGTCTCTCATACTTTGTACATATTGTCAAGAGGGACCAGTCGCTGGAGAAGGATATCATGTTTGGTAAGGTGGAGGGTCAGAGAAAAAGAGGAAGACCCCCAGCAAGATGGATTGGCAAAGTGGCAGCATCAATGGGCTCAAGTGTGGCAACAATCGTGAGGTTGGCCCAGGATTGGGCAGTGTTTCGTTCTGCTGTACATTAGTTGCTATTAGTTGGTACAAACTCGATGGCACCTAACAACAACAAAAACAATTAGAGCTTCTGGCACATAGTTTAACACTAAAGAAATAATTGTTCTACAAATGTATTTTGAGCCAAATCTTATAGAGATCTGAATTCAAAACAAATGAGTAAAAACTATTGACGGTAACAAACATCTACTGAACATTTGGAAGACAGCATGATAAAATAGGGAAAAAGAAGGCTCAGAAAACATGACTCATTTGTCCAGGATTGTACAGGATAGGAACAGATCTGATTCCAAATTGTTGTTGTTATTGTTGTTGTGTGCTGTGGAGTCAGTTCCGACTCATAGCAACCCTGTACAGGGTTTCTGAATTACCACATTTAAACATCAGAGTGACAAAAGCTAACATTTACTTTGAAAAATAAGAGTAACATGCCTCATTAACGTCTATGAGCATTTTTACTCATCCTTTTACTGATCTGAACAGAATTGAAAATAGACTCTGATTATGTATGGGTACTATCTGTATTTTCTATATGTAAACTCGACTGATCAGCAAGATAAGAATTTTTTTCTGTACCAACATACTCAACATACACAATCAGCAATGAAGTGGAGTGATTTAGCAGGTAAGCTTTGAAGAGAGAAGCCAACATTCAACTTCCTGGTCCAGCTGTTAAGTAACTCAGGGCAAAATTATTTGATGTCTGGAATATTTGTTTCATCTTTTGTTAAATTTCATTATTTGATACAATACTACTACATATTTCACTGGGTTGTGACAGCTTGAAAGAATTCAAGCATTAGCTGTGGATGATGTTTAACAATATTGTAAGTTGCAAATGGACTGCAATATACAAAATGCAGAAATCTAATGTTTACATTTCAGTTTCTTCCAATGCAGTCATTTGGAGTAGACGTTCCCCTCCCCAAATAAACCCATTTCACAATGAAATTACAATCTCAGGATTTACTTGTTGAATTTCTAGGAAGGAAAAGCCAAACAAGAGCAATTAAATAGTAAAGCGAAACTCTGGGAGTACGTCACTTTTCCTTGTGTTAGCTGTGATCATCTATTTTCAAAGATCAAAGCTCTGTATCGGTGCCGGACGCTGGGATGGCATTCGATAAATGTTACTGAAGATCAATAGTGACGTTTGGTTTAACACTACCATACACACAACGACAGGGATTGAAAAAATTCGGAGTGCCGCGTGGGTTTAGAGAACCTGAGAGGATTCAAGTATCA